GTTCTCAGCCATTGGACTGGGCTGCCCAGGGAGGTGGTTGAGGCCCCATCCCTGGAGGTGTTCAAAAGACAGGTTGATGTAGTGCTGGGAGGTATGGTTTAGTGATGATGCTCCTTGTTTGTTGTGTGGGTGTCTATTTTTGTCAGTCAGGTTGATGGTTGGACAAGATGATCTTTAAGGTCCCTTCCAACCTAGAAGATTCTGTGATTCTGTGATTCGGGGAGGGAGGAGCTCATGGTGGTTTCCCTGCAGGGCTCTTGGAGGCTGGTGAGAACTTGCCTTGGCCACTGAGGAGCAGGGACTTGCCACCGATCTGTGCCAGAGAAATACTCATCAGCCCACGTGCAAGGAAGCTGCATGTGTGTATATATATGTATATGTAAAGACAATTATGACTTAGGACAGATAAGCATTGATTGCTGTTTCCCCCAGACATGCACGAGGGGGACCCTACAGCCATGGGGAGGGCAGAAGCCTCTCCTCGAGGCTGGGTCGGTGTGAGGGAACTTCTCAAGTCTTCTTTTCACTCAGAGCAGGCTCTGAATGTCAAGGAACTCAAAAATCAGCATTGATTTATATATGTGGAAAATCAGCGATTATTTACATACCGGGTGCTGATTTGTGTATTTGTAGAATATGATAATTAGAGTCCCTGGTTCATTTAGGCAGGACTTGCGTGGGGGGTGGGTTTTGTTGCTGGTGGTGTCTCACCACCCTGTGACAGCCTGGTTTTTGGTCAGAATGTCCAGGCAGAGGAACGCTGCGTTTCTTCTGCCAACCTCTGGCTTTTCCGCATGCGATGGGCAGAGCTGCCTGCGTTTCCAGCCTTTGTGTGTGTGTGTGAACGTGGCAACAGGGATTTCATCCCCTCAGAAGCCCTGCTCACCGAGGACACCCTGGGGATGGTCACCCTCAGCCCCAGCTGCTGCTCAGGAGCGGTTCTGGTTGGGTTTGTCCCCGGTTCCCTGGGCAGCTCCCCCAGCACGGACGGGGATGTTTATTCCCTGCTCCTCGTCCTGGAATTGTTGTGAGGGTGCCAAGGCTCGTAGATCCATGACTCCGAGCAAGGAGGGTTTAAAGGTCATAGTCGAGACCATTAATAACAAGGTGCAAACGGCTGGTTTATATGTAATGTGAAGCTTTTTACTTATTTCATT